TTGAAGTTTTAATTAAAACAATAAATTTAAAATTATGGAACCCTACTATAAATACTTTTCTTCATTTTTTTCTCAATTTTCATCATTTTATAGGTAGTTTTTATGTATAAGACTCTCGATAAAGACGATATATCTTCGGCATTTTGATAAATATAAAATAATAAAAACAGAAATTACAACAGAAAGCACACATGAACGTACAATAAATATTTGAACGCGACTGAAATGTCAATGGTCAATGGTCGTAATCGATATTTTCTCATCTTGGTATACGTATTTTATTTCACTGATTATTGATCTAAGGTCATAATTGGGAAAACCGTTTATACCTGCAAGTATACTTATTAATTTATTTTTATATTAATCAAAACTATGAAAATATAATATTGTTTTTCTTATATTACAGTATATATTTCAAAAACGTCTAAAGAAAACAAAAATATATCGAAATATGAAATATGGAATTAAAATTGTAAAATAAGCCATTAAAATTGAATAAAATTGGTAAATGTCGAAATAAGCAAGAATATGCACTAAAAAGTTTCATTTTTTAAATCGTTATGTCATGAAACACATTTTGTGCTCACTTAGCATGGCATACGATATACGGCATACATTTTTAATTCAAAACTGGTCGTATAATACACTTATCATAATACTCCAGGCGACGCATTCATTTATTTATTTATTTTTTATTTTTATGTATAAAATTTGTATTAATATTTTTATTTACGAGTATTAAAAATTTTAATAATTTTGATCTACTTTATTATTTTATAATCTTTTATACTAGGAATTTAATGTACTTACGGTTTCTAACTTATATTTTAATACTTATGTATAATTATAAAAATCTATTTTATAAATCTGAATATAGATATAATATTAGAAACAAAATTAACACTAATTTAAACACCTATAAAGTTTATAATACCACAGTTAAGCGACAATAAGTCCAATTAATAAAGGTAGGTACTGAATTATGTAAAAAAGTAACTATTAATTTAAATAATTTTAGTTTATTTATTTGTTTAAAAAAATTATCTGTAAATTTAATTTTAATCATATTGATATATTTTGAATCTTATATTGTTATTTAAGTTCGTACATTAGTTCTCCCATTGTTATTTATTATATTATGTAACTATACTTAGATCTCACCCTTTCATCGTTTTATTTCTTTTCTTTTCTTCAATCTGTACAATTCGTACTTATAATTTGTTTATTGATTTAAAACAATAAACAAAATAACAAAAAAAAGAGACGGACATACTTCGCACGTGGGTGGGCCACTGTTGTAGGTGATAGGTTGGGAAGGTAGTGGGGAAATTTAATGTATATCTGTACGTAACGATTAACCATTGCTAACGAAAAACGATTCTGAGTGGAATTCGGTTAATAGTGTTGCTTTGTCAACAATATATATGTGACTTTATGGTAAAATAATTATATATGCATTGTGTATTTTTTTTTAATAATATTTGTTTAATATTGTATTTATTTTCCTGTTTTTCCTTTTTTTTTTTTTTTTTTTCCATTTATTGGGAAACTCTTGAAAAATTAAAAATGACGTCCCTAAAGTACCATTTTAGTCAGATTTCTTTTCAGAAAATGTGCTATCATTGTAAATCAGAGCAAAATTGCTTAAAAAAAAAAAAAAGGCCGTAATATTTTTTTACTAATTTTTTACAAATGTACTAATACATTTTCCGCTTTTCCTCCATTTTTTTCCAATTATGGGGAAAATTCCTGGAAAAATCAATGACCTCCCTAAAGTACTAGCACGTAGATAAAATTTTCTTTCAGATAATGTGCTATACTTGATACATCAGAGCAAGATTTCTGGTAGAAAAGTTTTTACAATAAATTGAGGGGTATTTTTTGATTCAAATAGTCAGAGTGAGCGATGAATTGGGTCTCTATGTACACCCGAAATGCGTTAGTTTTTCTCTGTTAAGGTAAAAGGGAAAAAATAAATGCAAACATTTATTTTCGAAACTCGAGCTTTTACTCGTGATTTTTAGGATACAACAGATATGTAGCACCACTAAACTACGACAGATGTACTATAAAAATGGCAATATAGACTATAGAGTTCAGTTAACATGAACTTCAAAAAGCTATAATTTCGAAACTAAGTCAGACCGCTCAATTCTGATTTCACCATCGTTCTTAAATCGGCAATGTACATACATGTTTGAAACAAAAAAATTGAAAAATTACATTTGTTCCACATCAATTTTCCATTTTTCTTACTGTTTATTCTGGTTTTTCCCAGACGGATTTCTGGTAGAATTTGTGCACACAGTATAAAAAACAAATATAAGAAAATAAACTTCTTAGTAAAACCAATACATTTCTCGCTTCGTTCAGAATCTAAAATATGGGACAAATAGGGAGCCTATATTTTACAACTCCCGGGCCTCAATTTTTTCTCCATGGCCTGCTTAGTATTACTATAAATCAATTTACTATCAAAATACAAATTAAAGGTAATTTATAATTCGAAACGATTTGAACCCTTAACCCATCCCTCACTAAAAAAATTTGAAGTTGATATTTACATAAAATGTGTGGTATTGAGGACCGACTTGAATGCAGTGCAAGTTGTAAACGCGCATAAAACCCCACGCTTTTAAAGACCCCTCGTGTAGTCGCTATACTTGATAGTAATTTCACATGATTATTTAGGTAAATTAAAATTAAAAAATGAACTAAAAAATATTTGTATTGTAAAGATTTATCTACTCTTGGTGTTGTAGAAGATGAAAAAGTAAAGAAAAAAGCTTATTTATACCTATCAAAAATGACTGCCCAGAGCCTCGATATTTTCCCAACCGGTTCTTGTAATATTACGCATCAATAACAAGACGTGTGTAAAGTTACAATATATACTACTTGTAATTTATACGCTTTGAAAGGTTAGAATTGGCCAACCTATTTGATTTGTAAAATTAACAGCAATAGGTCGCAGTTAAAATTGACCTATTTTTAAAAAAAAATATATATATCTATATGAATTTGTAAATTTAGATAGTCTTTTAAAATTTAAATTTATCAAATTATATTATTTTTAAAATGAATACAATAATAAGATTTGTGTACTGTGGGAATTTCTTACTGAAGTTCCTAAGGAATGCCGAATAGGACCTTCGTGTATGTACAAAGGAAATGATACTTGAAAAGGAATAAACTCTTTTATGTAGTTAGAATAAATTTAAAAACATTTTAAATACGTAATAACTAAATGATACGTATGTAGTTGAATCGTTAAGACCGCAATGAGTTATTTCCGTCAAGTTGGCACCGGAACATTATGCTAGGACTATACAACTAGTATTAACATTTTGTTGGGAATTTGGTAGATTTTGTTAGGGTATTTTTAGAATTTGGTATGGTTCCCAAATTTCGGAAATTTCGGAAAACCAGGGGTGAAATAGCCGGTCTGAAAATCGTAATTTATAATATAATTTGTATACTTTAGTTATTATTGTTAATTTCTGTAATACAAATATACTTCGTTTACCTACCTATTATTTCACTGAGGACATGGACTAACCGATCGTTTGAACGGTATTCGTATTTCATTATTATTTTATCTATACTCCGTTTAACAATGGATGATGTGTTAACAAAAAAATTTAATGTTATTGTAAAAAATATTAATGGGTTTTATGATGAAACGCATAAAACGCATATCTCGATAAACATAAAAGTATAATTTAGATAATTGTTTATTGTTTATACCTACAACTGGCATCATAACAAAGACGAGATTATCGTGCAAATGCATAGCTATATTGTTATTGTATGTGTTAATAAATATGAATCAAATAAATTGTATCACTGCGTAGGTATTCATTATACAAAGTGATCCATTTATCACAAACCAATAATTGTCTCGGAAAATTTTAAGCGGATTTGATTTCTGTTTTTTTTTTTCATTATTATGGAATTTATTATTGTAGTTTGAAATACGAAATTTACTACTATTCCCTAGTCTTCTATTACCGTCAAAATTTTAAACAGTCATAAGGTATACCTCATAAGCTATAAATCTAAGTATTTAGCATTTCAAAACTTTAGACAAATATTCTCTATTCGAATATGTTTTTTAAAGGGGAGTTCCTATTTAAAAACCAAAAGTGTCTATACCTATTTATTCATTTTGAGAGTAGAGATAAACAAATAATGTTAAAATAATACTTAAGCAACTTCATAATGATTGAAAAAAATAGTAATCAAAAAATCCGAAAAAATCAATTGTCATGATTAAAGAACCACTCTGTATTTAGTACAAACTTCAAGACCACCTGTTTTCTTTTTTTTTGTTTACGCTTAGTTAAATTATGTTAAGTTTCTTTAAAACTAATAAAATGTGAAAACGATAAAAAATCGTAATTTTATACAAATATATTTCACATATTTTCCCGTTTTTTTTAATTTTTCGCATTTGATGAGGAAACTCTTGAGAAAAATCGAAAAATGACCTCCGTAAAGTACCTCCCCACGCCGATTTTCTTTTGGACAAAGTACTACACGTAAAAATCGGAGCAAGTCTTCTGGTAGAAAAGTTGTCCATAGAAAAAAAAAATAATAAACATCTTTGTAAAACCATAAAGGTACGGTTTCCCTTGCGCGATCGACGAACTAAGATCGCATTCGCATCGTCTTGGTTTATTCTGAACGATTTCACGTCGCGATCGAGAGTAATTTATATCACATCATTCGGTCGTACTTAATATTTTGATGTGTGAAGTACTCTAGTGAACGGTATAAACGAACATACTGTCTAGTGAACGGTATAAACGAACATACTGTGATAGTGAACGGTATAAACGAACATACTGTGAATACTTAATATTTTGATGTGTGAAGTACTCTAGTGAACGGTATAAACGAACATACTGTGAATTTTTAATATTTTGATGTGTGAAGTACTCTAGTGAACGGTATAAACGAACATACTGTGAATTTTTAAATGAACATACTGTGAATTTTTAAATTATAATGGATACATCTGACGACGTAAATATATTGAAAATTCTTTTTGAAGAAGAATATAGAACTAATATTTTCCAAATGGCCTCTCTAATATTTAAATCTTTGTAATCCTTGTTTTGAGGATTATAAATTGGCGGATTTTTAGCAACACATTCAACCAGAGCTTCATCTTCTACTTTGCTAAATTTGGTCATTGGAGCACTCATTGTTAAAAGACACGACCAACGTCAACCAGCAGTCAATCATAAATGAATGTCATATACTCATATCATAATTTTCTTTCAAAATAACAAATTATTCGCGCCGCGATCGAATTTAGATCGCCGACCGCGATCGCGCAAGGAAAACCAACTGTATTTAATTTACATTGTATCAGTAGTCGCGCAATAATGATGCGTGATCTTATATCGGATCGCGTTCGCGATCGCGCAAGGGAAACCGTACCTTAAGCTTCTTCGCTCCACTCAGAATCTAAAAATATAAAATTTATATAAATAAATTACGCAACTATTAATTTTCGAAGGGAAAGTTCCCCCCTTTTTTACGTGCCTGGAATATACCACTCGTATTTTATTAATTAAAATGTATTTATCAATCGCGATATTGCCGTACAATATATTAAAAAAATAATCCAATCCGATTAATTAAAAACGAATATTTTTTAAAAAAAATACAGTAATGACACACGATAATTTCTCTTCCTTCGATACGGCCTTGTACTTGCTTCAGTAACTGGATCTACTAATAATACACACAAGACAGCAGCTATTATTATAAGCAGTTAAAATGGTTGTCTTATTTAAGTTAAAATTATCAGTCTCCTTCAGTTTAACTTTAAAGTCCTGGGATCGCTTTAGTTTTTGTCACCGAGAAATGTTTAATAAAATTTTAAAAAGGTAAGATAATGGGGACGGGTGCAGCCACTGGTGCAAGTGGGAAGTTGAGAAGGTAAGATATAAATGGAAATTTAATGTATACGTATCGTATCGTGTATGTAAGTAATGATAAACCATTACTTACGAAAAAACGATTATGAGCGAAGTTCAGTTGATAGTGATGCTTTGCCAACAATATATATGTAATTTTGTAGTAAAATAATAATTTGAAACTTCATTTCCGTGTACAACAAAAGGTACACAATAAAATTGTTTGAACCATTATTTATATGAATTATTATATTCTAATCTCATTGTTCAATGTTTTGTAATTTTTAATAAATAGGTAGGTACAAATATTTTCCAAAAGAACTGTTATTATTGGCATTACATTGAGAATAAAAATAAAATAACCTAATAATTTTAATTCTTCAATACAAAAGAAAAAAAAAAAGCTATAGACACATTTAAAATGCCTTTTACTTAGGTAGTTATAGGTATTTCATATTTATTACATTATATAGTAAATTATAAATGCTTATAGTTTAAACTTATTTATTAAATTAACTTAAAAGCGAAAATTAAAGGCAGTCCTGATGTTGACAATTTGAAACACCCAATCACATAATTTGTTACCACTAACATTTAAAAGTATATAGTAATAAAGTAGTAAAAATATATATACCTACGCGATGTCTTATCAAATAGTTTCAAAATGCGACGATTCATGGTAAAAAAGTTTGTTTCAAATGCCTATATTGTAGAGCAAGGATTTCTATGTAATAACATGTTTTTAATGGATGTATGCACAACCACGAGAGTAAGATACGTCAACGATTCACAGTACAAAGAATCTGTATACAACATTTTATTATTCATAGTAGTGCATATTTTTATGTTAAGAAAATATATTTATATCAAATCATTTTTTTGCATATTTGTTTAATTAAAAATGTATGAATTTTAATATTTCCAGGAATTAAAAAATTACGTACATTTCAACCATTGCGATCAATTTTTTCTATTTTATAAAAATGTATTAATTGGTACGTCGTACGATAATTCTCAATGCCACTACGATTTGATAATTGACAAATGATAATGAAGTGCGAAAATTATTCGTTAGTCAAATTTTTGATATCCAGTAATCATTTTGCAAACAACAGACTATCTACGACCTGAATAATTAATAACAATTTGTTACCATATAAATTATCAGATGTTTTCCTCTAGTATAATAACGAGTTATCGTTTTGTATTCGAAGTCTAATAAAATTAAACAGTCATATTCTTAGATTCCGAGCGTAGCTAGGGAGCTATTGATTTTACAAAGCTATTTATTTTTTATTTTTTTTTTTTTAGTCTGTTTTTTCCTAGTTAACTTGCTCCTCCGATTTTTACGTGTAGCAATTTTTCTGAAAGCTCAAGTTGTCTAGATTATGCTTTAAACAGGTCATTTTTTGATTTTCGATAAAAATAAAAGCACTTAAGTGGAAAAAAACGTAAGAAAACGTACAATTTCACGATTTCATTATTTTATAAAAACACGGACGACGTTTTCTACCAGAAAAAATGATTTGATCGAAAAATCACAAGACACTTTTTTTGTTCTCTTTTTGATTTATTTTTTTATGATAACATCGCTAAAACTTTTGAGACACTTTTGAGCTTTTAAGGAATTTTAATTTTTGGGAGTTTTTTGCTGTAATTCGGTTATAAATACATGTAGAGACTTGAAACTTAGTAATTATACTTATATTGGACTTACCTATACGTTGTACAATTTTTAAAATCATCAGACGACTTTTTTTTTTGTAATAAGCGTTTTGAAATCATATTTAAATGAAAAAAGTAAAAAAAATTATGGCACTTCAAATTACGTATTACCGAACTGCCCTCTTTCGTCAAGTAATGGTTTACCGTTGCTTACAGATATAAATGAAATAACCTTATTTATCCTACCTTCCCAACTTTTCATCTACAACAGTGGCCGCTCCCATCCCCAGTATCGATTTTTTTTTAAATACTTTATGACTGTTCTGCTTTGATTTACAAGTTTTAATTTAATGAAATGCCGAAACAACGATCTAAAAAAATTAGTTTATTATTATTTTAATAATGTTATTGATTTTGTTAATTATTATTTATTAAATATATTTTGCATATAAATAAATATTTTGATGTTAAGAGAATATTTTAATATATAAACGTATGTTTGCATATTTTAATAATATTTTTAGATAATATTACAAGCACATATTCAAAATTTTAAGAGAATTTAAATCCACGCTCTACGGCTATATGTTATGTGACGGATCAATTCGGTATTTTTCAAACGTTTCTTATGTACCCCCCTTTGACGCATTTCTCACTTTAAACATAGATTGTAATATTGTTTACTCTATAATATAATAATAAATACTACATAATCATGCAAACAGAATTATCACTTACTTATGCAGTTGGTTGAACTTAATTGTGGGTAATCGTACTCACCGTCGAACGTACCGAAAACAACTGTCGGGTTTTCGGCTCATCGTAGTTTTTTTTTTTAAAATATTTTTTCCGACGGTGCCGACGGATCCGTGTCACCGTACCGCTTTTTTGGGCGCACACTCACCTATATATTATTATATATTATTTTATTTATTACGAAAGTAGGTGTACAGGTGCACTACTACTACGAACACTGCTCTGGTGCACGAAACGTCTTACGATAATATACCCGCGAATAAATATAACACTATTTATACATGTATATATAAATATATATTACCTACGTGAATTATATTAATATTCGGGTAGGTAAATGTAATATCGCCGTGTCGTACAATAATACGACGACAACGATGACGGTTGTCCAAAAAAAACTCAAACGTTCACCTTGACACACGAATTCCGGGAGAAACGGGAAAAAAAATAATAAAAAATTACACGGAATACCTACCACCTACGTGTGTATATATATATATATATATATATATGTATAATGTAGAACATCATAAACTGCAACTCGTGTATATAATATATTATATTATAATAGTGGGTTTGTTTTTCCCCGCACATTCGCAAAGCGTATTACACGTATAATATTCGTATACGACTTACGGGCACGCAATTCTATACTTATAGGCACCATGTACACCTACCCCGTCCCCGCCCCGCCCCGACGATGTGCGGCTCGGCGTCGGGCACGTAAACGCGAAAAACTTTTTGTACGTTATCATACCATGGCGTACATCCGATCATTTTGTATAGGTATATAATATTATAATATCTTAAACACTGTTCGACGATGTTTTCGGGTATTTTAATTTTTTGTGATTCTATTGGTATAGGAATTATGTCGTTGGCATGTGGTTTTTTTTTCCGGTTCGCTGTATTTACTTACATACCCGATTTTAAACTGTTTTTATTATTGTTATTTTATTTTTATTTTTTTTTCGCAAAATCCGTGACTGTCACCGAACAGCGTGTTGTAGGTAAATGTGCCATGTCGTCGTTAGCGTGGCCAAAAAGGCATTTTCCACAATATAAACTTACACGTAACTTCGTGTCTGGATGACATAGGACGACAAACAATAATAATATTAGATTTGTTCTAAATTCCAACACACGATTAAACTATCACAAAATTGACGGGCGCATGCACAGTAAAGTTTTGCCATTTCGACACATCAAAAAATCAAACTCAAGCTATCAGATGGTTGTTCCGACACGACGTTAGTCCAGTTTCGGGATTGGTTTCTGATAGCCAAATCGATCCGCTGATTCGGATAGGAACTATTAGTAGTCAGAGATTCTGTTATCATTTATTCAATGGTTTTTGTTTATGCTATCAATTATTTATGTAACCGTTTCACGTTTTTATACTGTTATCTGTTGCGTTGTTTTGTTTCATCTTTCGCGCGTAGTAATATACTCTCACCTACAACACACAAGAATCGTTTTTATCAGGTTTTATATTATATCTATATAGGGGCGTGCTCACGGAGGGGGATAAAGGTGTCATGTCCTCTCCCATCAACTTTTTTTTTATATGCATTTGTTTGAAGTTCCTTGGTAGTTTTGGTTTTCTCGAAAAAATAAGTAGTACCTACATAGTTAGTTTTAATTTTTAATCATGTTAATTATCATCTTACGTATAAAATATATTTAGTAGATACTATAGTTATAGTAATTATCTATAGATAATGCATAAATATCATAAAAAAAAAAATATAATCATAATATTTCAATCCATTATATTCCGATATCTATGTTATAAACGCAACCATCGGCATCTATTAATAAATTATCAATAGTATATTTATAGTTATGAGTTTTAAGCT